AGTTGGGGAAAGAGAACTCCCAGCTCTGTTTCAAAGTAGAGTGCCAGCTGCATCACAATGTACATCTTGGACAGGTGACTACGGAGGTGAGGGACACTTTAGGAAACTCAAAGTCAACAAAGAAATGTACATGGAGAATTTGGGTTTGTGAGCTACAGAATACCTATTTGGTTGTAAAAATTGAGAAAGTGTACATGCAGAGTTCTTCTCTAAGGCACTTGGAAAATTGGCATTAAAATGTTTTACCTTTACTCATATTTATTCCGGCTAACACTAAGTGAACTTCAGTTACAGCACTTAAGTACGTTCTGGGAAGAAATTTTCTAGACAGATAAATGGATATCTCTTATATCTACAAGTCTAGTCTTTAAGATATTAGCCAGAATAGGAATGAATGCTGGGAAGTACATGATTAAAAAAATCTCAATTGATTTAGGATTTTGGGAACAGGTGTTTCTCAGAACCTTTGCCAGTGAAGGTTTTTGCTCAGTGATGTTCTGGAAAGGCACTGAGTACTTCTATTGTGGTTAGACAGTGGCCTCGCAATCTTCAGCCTCTGCATGACTAGTCACTACAGGTCCCTGCCCAAGCAGATCTCTCCGTACCCCCTGCTTGTCTGTGTCAATATAATCAAGCCTGGTGGGAATTTCCACAAGGCCATAACAATTAAAAGTGATCACTTTTGCCATATTCCTTCCTGAAATAAGCAAACACTTGTCAGATTCTCTAAACAGACATTGTTCAGGGCTATAGGTGACAATCTGACTCTCTCTGCTGTAAAGAGAATGAAAGATGGATAGATTCTGTTGAAAAGAAAGTAGAAAGGGAGAGTAAATTGATGAGTGAATGTCTAAGTATCTGTGTGCAGAGTGACATAGCAGTATGGGGTAAACCCTAGTGTGCTAACTGGGACAGGTAACTGGCAAGGTATGTGAATGTGTCTTGGTGGGAACATGATTACTCTTGGAGGTTGTAGCACATTTACAATCTTCCCAGAATTAGTGAGTGTTGAGGAAGTAAGTCTTTGGCTCCTGATACTACTGCACTTGTCCCATATTGCCATGGCTAAATTTCAAGTTGCTGGCCAGCTATTTTCAGAGCACTGGAAAAGAAAACCAATGACTGTGGGGCAAAAGTGAGGGCTGTGGAGAGCTGCATTTTACTTACTACTAGTGTAACCTGGCTGATCAATGGAATCCATTCCCACTACAATATTAATTGACATTTTCCTTCATACTCTTGTTGTAGTCACTTTTGTACTGGGTCTGGGAGATGATACAGTCAAGATTGGAAAGTAGTGCCCCTATTTCTATCTTCTAAGAGAGGCAAGACAGCCCCGAATTATATTAGAATATGGAATAACTACTGAATATTAGTATGTTATTTTTCTTAAATGTATTTTAGTAATAACCACAGATACCTACTGTTTTACAACTGACAAGGTGCTGCATGTCTTCAGAACTCTGAAGAGACTGAAGAAATGTTCATTATGTAAATAGTTTTTAGTGTAGACCCTGGGAAATTTGAATGCAACTTAGAGAGGTAGCCAGAGGATGTACCTGTCAGGACAGTAGTATGAACACACACCTGACATGAGTGTTAAATAGTGGGTAGATGCCAGAAGAAGACGCATCTTGACCATGATCTCTGAGAGTGTGAGAGGGCCTGATGAAGAGGATATTATTAAATCACATGTTGATTCAGAAGGCAGGCATACCAGAGTAGGTGCTGTCAAGGGACAAATGTCTGCAGAGGAATCATTCCCCAGGAAGACTACATGGTGTCTACTCAGCTAATCTGACCTCAAAGAGCAGAGAATCATGGTAATGAAGAAACACAGAGAGGATGTAGTGAATCCCAGAGCAACTGGCAAGGAAATACTGCTATCTGTGGTGACTAATAGTGCAGAAAGGATAAATAAGATGAAGGAGAAATTGGAGGCTGGGGAGTTCACAGCAGCATTAGGCATGCCTTAGAGGTGCCCCATACTCTGAATGAACTCTGCAACCCTATTGTTATTATTAAGCACTCCAAAGTCACAATGAGTAAAGGTTCTGTGCTAAATACTTTATGTGTTCCAGTCTAGGGAATCCTTACCATGTATACTGTGAGATGGTTAATTATTTACCCATTCACTATCACTAAACATCTGTTCATCCATTTTTTGTGTGTCAAGTGACAATTTTAGTGCTGAGGATAAAGTGAGAACAATGAATATTCTTGCACTCATGGCACTTCTAGTCTAGTAAGAAACTTCAGATACTCAACAAGTAACTCAAAAATACTGTAGGCTGTGACACTTGCTGTGAAACAAGCATTAGTGAGAGTCTTAAAAATTATTTGTTATTTTCTGTGTGTCTTTTAGCATATTTATGTACACTATGTGCATGCAGTGACTGAATAGGTATCAAATCTCCTGGAATTGGAGCTATGGGTAGCCATGTTCCACCTAATATGGGTCGTAGGAACTGAACTTGGATCCTCTGGGAAAAACAACAGGTGTTCTTAGACATCACTGAGCCATCTCCCAGAACCCAGTGGTGACAGACTCTTACATAGGGTTCTGCCCTAGAGAGGGACACAGGAAAGCTTAGGATCTAAAGGAACGCAGACAGTGGATGAGGTACCCACTATAGAAGAAGCCAGGGAATTGGCATTTCATGGTAGGGGAACTCTCCATAAATACCTTGCAAATTGTGGGAACTATGAAAAGCCATGTTTCTGGAACATAAGAACCAGACAGAGAGTAGCGTGGACATGTAAGGACTTCAGAGGCAGGTGGGTCAGCAGGCTACAGGGGAAGAGTTGTGGGGCCTCCTTCCCCTTCAGTGCAAAAACACGGAAGAGACTTAAGTTGAATGGTGGTGATATAATCTGATTGCTTTTTTTTTTTTACAAAGGTCACATGTCATATGTTGAGTGTGCAGGTGGACATGAGCAGAGTGTTTGGGAAACCAGGCAGGTATTTACTTAGGTGAAAGATAATGGTGGAAGTACAGACTGGAGAGATGAAGGGTTTGGGATTTATTTTGGCACAGGAACAACAGAAATTTAGGTGGAGAGAGGGCAGAGTGTTAAGAGAAAAAGAAGCTGTTAAATTGTTGGGGTATGTGCATGTGTTTGTACATGTAATGTTTATATGTGTGCATATATAAACGTGTGAATGTGGGCATGCATATACATTGCATGATGTATAGTAGGGTCAGAGGAAAACCTCTCCTACTTTGTTTGAGACAAAGAATCTTCTGTGTTGTTGGCCACTGTGTATGCTAGGACAGCTGGCCCACATATCTTCAGAAAGTCTCCTGCTTCTACCTCCCATCTGACTGTAGCGGCACTGGATTTGCAAATGTACTTCATCGGGTTTACACAGGTTCTGGGGATTCTAGCTAAGATCTTCACATTTATATTTCAGATAATTCAACCACTGAGCCACTTCTCTGGCCAGACTGTTTGGTCTTCACTTCTAGAACGGGCAACTGGCAATGCTAAAACAAAAAAAGATTGGGGAAGGGAGCTTTGAAAAAGTAATAGTTCCTTATGGGATATAATACATTTAGTTAGGTCCATGGATCATAAACACAAAGATATAACATACTCCTTAGGATTTATGAATCCAAGGCTTATACAGTTGTTTTAGACTGAGATGGAGATTTTGATCTATTGACCCAGTGATGATAGTTAAAACAATAGGCATGAGGATGGAGAGAGTACCAGGAGTTAAGAGCACTTTTTGATCTTGTAGAGTACCCAGGTTCAGTATCTAGCACCTGACAGACAACTCACACCATCTTGTAACTCCAGTTCCAGGGGATGTGACACTCTTTTCTGGTCTTTGTAGGCACTGCACAAATATAACACACGCAAATACATGCAGGCATGTGCTCTTTCTATCCATATAAAGTAAAACCAAGCACATTTTGAGGGACATTGAACTTTGTCCTAACAACCATTTCATAGTCTCAACCCAGAGTAAGGGAGCAACTAAGGGAAAAGAGGTCTTCCAGTGCACTGAAATAAACTTTTAAAGTAAGGCAAAGAAAAGCAGACAAGCAAACACAGGGAGTCTGCTACAAAACATGTTTGGGCAGAGACAGTGTGGGGTGAAGGAGATGAGTTCACTAGTGATAGTGTCAGATGGCACAAGACGAACGGTTGAACCTGAAATAATGGATGAAACAAATATTGTGATGGACACTAGTGTTGAGATGGTTCAGAAAGAGGTTAGCAGTGCCCAAGGCTGTGACTGGGAATTTTCATAAAACGAAGTCACTAAGCAAGCAGTACAGAAGTTCCGAGCAGTGGTGGAAACAGTTTCATGATTGTGGTGGGAACAGGAATGGGTACCTGGACAGGGAAGGGACAAGAAGGAGCTGGAAAGATGTCTCAGCAGATAGTTCTTACCAGCTTCGGAGAGGATCTGAGTTTACTTCTCATCAAGTTTACAACTGGCTGTAACTTCAGCTGCAGAGGATTCAGTGCTCTTTGGCTTCAGCAGTTATTGCATTCAGACATACTCATGGGCGTAGGCTTATGAGTGCACATATACGCATGCACACACACACTCACACACACACACACACACACACACTCAAAGCACAATCTTTTTTTTTTACGAGACAGGGTTTCTCTGTATTGTTTTGGAGGCTGTCGGTCCAGCCTGGCCTCGAACTCACAGAGATCCGCCTACCTCTACCTCCCGCGTGCTGGGATTAAAGGCGTGCACCACCACCGCCCGGCTTCAAAGCCCAATCTTAAACATTACAAAATCTTTACAAAATTAGGGAGTAGGTAATTGTTGAAACTATTGAGGACTTTGGTTCACAGTGCTCCCTGGAATCTCCCGGTAGGACTGGGTATAGAACCACATGTGTTTGCATCTGAAACATATGCTTATAGCTTTGATGCTAAGCAAGTGTTTAAGTTATGATTTGAATGAATTATTTATTTTCTAATTAATTTTTATCTCCCTTTCTCTCTCCCTTGGTTGATTTCATAAGATGGTCTCTGTTAACATCCAAATAAGGCAAACAGAAGAGAAAGGTAAGATCAAAAATGAAATGATAACAGATAAATTAAGGGACTTTTAATATATGGTTTATAAATATATTGATTGATTATCTCTAACTAACCCCAAAGCAGTCATACTAAGAAATTTTGAAGGAAGAATGTTTTGTCCTTCTGTTACTGATTTTCACTAAACTTAGGTTTCAAGTTAGACCTATAGAAATGCTTTAGAAACACAGAAACGCTTTAGAAACACACACACACACACACACACACACACACACACAGAGTTGTGTTTTTCCCCACCAAACAGAGGCATAACAAAGGAGAGAGTCTTCTCTCTGACTTTGTCTCACAAAACAAATCTGTATTTTAGTTAGTGATCAACTAAATCAACTAATGTCCCATTAGTATTCTGGACATCAGACATGGACTAGGTGATCATCCATAGTCAGTTCACATTAATACCCAATTGTTTCATTAGATACCCTGGGAATTTCTCTTTCTACTGGGAATATCTTACCTTGCCGACATACAAAGGGTCAGTCCCAGTATACTCTTCCAGCACGAAAAACTGATTCCAAACCCAACTCCTCTTGCTCCTCTGATGTGACTGTGCCCTGTCTGAGAAGAGTGTTTCTAGTTCGACTCCTTGCATTGGAGTACTGGAGAGAACAGTGGTTGTAAGGTCCATCAGTGCCCAGAAGTACAAGGATGTGCCAAGTCCAAGCCGGCTCTTTGCATTGCTCATTCTACCCGTAGTCCACATGGGCTTGCAGGAGTTCCACAAGTCAAGTAGGATGGGAAGCACTGGGGTTGAGTATTTTCCAAATAAAACAAGCCACACCACAGATTATCGGAAACTCATTGCTTCCCAAAGGAGTTCCCCATTCAAATCAATCTGCTTGGAGCTGAAGTCCTGTAAAGTTAAGGGAAACACTGTCAGGGGATTCCTTCCTGGGAGCTGCTTGCAAGTTTTCCAGGATGTTTGGTTTTCTGCTCAATAACTCAGCTGGTTATCCCTTAAGAAAGTTTTCCTTATAACTAATATTTGATTATTAAAAGACAATGTATCTTGCTGTTATCAGTCCAAAACATTTGGATCTGGATTCTGAGACAATAAAAGCAGTAAAAAACAAAACAAAGTAAAAAAAAGCAAACAACCCCCCCAAACCAAAAAACCTTCATGTTAGTAACAGCTTACCTTGAGGGCTAGACTGTGTTATTGATTGGCTTGAAAAATTAATAGTATGTTCTTCAAAATCAGAAACCCCCCTGAACTCTTCAGAATAGCATTCACTTCTAAAATTTACATCTACCAGCCAACATTTCCATTAGTTCAACTTCTTTTTTTGACTTATTAAAAATAGGAAAAATTAAACTTCTTTTTCGTTTGCCACTTACAATTATCTTATACCTGTCCCTGATATTGATAATTCTATCAATCTTTGACTTCATTTATAAGCAGCCATGGACCATTCTCACTATAATCATTCTCTGAACTCATGAGAATCAAGTTTCACACTCTACTGCTTCAGCTGTGAAGCGCTGATAGGGGCTGCTAATGTGACCTTTCTAGGATGTGAGTGGCCAGTTAATCATTACATCCTTCACAGGGGACTTTAAAGTGCTATCAGGCATATGCCACCGTGAGTGAGCTAAGAGTTGATCTAATAGATTTTCTTTCCTGACCTGAAAGACTTTTTTAGGCAAAGGAATGTTAACTTCTACCTGGCAAACACCTTTTCATCAGTCACACTTCTTTTGTGGCTGTGGAGTCAGCTTAACCCGTGACCTCACTTCTGGGCTGTGACCTCATCAACCTTTTCTTCCCTTCCATGACTGGGTCTGATGAGGTAGTAGCATTGCACTCAGGCTACTCATCAGAGCAACAGAAGTGTTTTCTGTGGGCTTAATATTTTCACTGCTAACTTTAAGAAGTGCTGCCATGCCTAAGAACAAGTGTGTGCACCTGATGCCTTCAGATCAGTACAACAACTGAACAGTGATCCCTATTCTGCAAGTGACTTAGAATGAATGCACTGATGCTAACTCAGGTCCCACCTTCCACCTGTCATCTTCAGGACAGGTTTTAGCATCCTCTCTAATACTCATCGCTGAGATGGACAAAAAGATTTCAAAACATCTTAGAATCATTCATACAGTGTCATTTCAGTCGGGGAGAAGTTACATCAGTAAGAGCTGATGAAGAGGAAATGTCTGGGGAAACTAGTTTTGTAACAGAACAGGGTGGCTGTTCTTCTTCTGAGTTCTGACTGTAAAGACAGATAGTGTCATAAGGAAAACACAAGCTGTGTGTGCCTTAATTAGGCTGATTTGATTGTGGTAGAAGGTGAGTTCCTGCTGGGCGGTGGTGGCACACGCCTTTAATCCCAGCACTCGGGAGGCAGAGGCAGGCAGATCTCTGTGAGTTCGAGGCTGGGCTGGACCGACAGCCTCCAAAACAATACAGAGAAACCCTGTCTCATAAAACCAAAAAAAAAAAAAAAGGTGAGTTCCTAGATAGTAATAGTTCCTTCTCTTCATGGATTCCACAACAGAAACCCAGATAGACCCTTTTTTTCTAGTCCCTGTCTAAGGGGAGTTGTTTCAGAAGGAGGATCTTTAGTATGGGAATAGATTGATGGAAAGATTGCTGAAGCCCAGATATGCTGTCTTGGGGACATATAAGGTGAGTAGGGAGTATCACCCCACAAAACCAATAGCTAGATTATCATGCTTGGCAAACCATAAAAGAAATGAATGGTCTATGCATTGTCTAGACACAAGGGTACTTAGGATTTCCCCAAGAGAAACAGATTCATTTAGACAGTTCTGTCTCTGGTTCTCTCTTTGCCTGTGACTTGTCTACCTTAAGTTATCAAGGCAGTGATATGGCTCTGCTGACTGACTCTGTGAGCGGCTCCGTATTGACTTTCCTTATCTGTTAAGCAGGGACAGTAATTCTCCTGTCTACTCAGCAGGCATCTTAAGGATATGATGGGATAATGCAGGCTAATGACAAAAATGACCCCTGGCGTTTCTTGAATCACATAAATTGCCTGGGTCATGTGTGAAAATAATGAAGACAAGCATAAAACATATTTCATGGGTACAATTGGGAACAAAGTCCTTCAAGGCTTGTAACATAAATCATCACACCGATCTCTAATGTGTGGTGAGTATTGTTTGATAGAAGATTCTGGCTCAGTCCAATTGTACAGTAACTTTGCATGGCTTTTCCTTATGAATATATTTAATAAAGGGGTAGCTACTAGAAAACTCTGTAATAGTAGAGAGAGTTCTTTTATAGATTGTATTTATCAGCATATAATGTGCTTTGTGTGTGTGCATATATGTGCATTTTGGTTAATGTCTTTACTTCATATAAGATTTCCCCCTGTGCCCTTATTAGTGATTTTTCTCTTGCTTCAGATTGAGTGTACATGTACATGTGTGTGCATGTTTAAAGGTCCCGACTCTGCTCCCACAGGCTAAATGTCATGGACAGACCAAGAGTTGAGGGGATGTTAAGGGAGTTTAAGAAGTGACCATTATATTCTTCCATCTCTCATAAATCAGACAAGTATTCCTGCCAATTAAACTCCGCTGTCCTTACCTATATGTATGATCTGAGGAGTTCAAAGAAAAAAACTTCCAGTGGAAGTTTTGTGATGAATATTTTGTAGGCAGTTCAGTTGCCTCAGCTTTTATCTCCCCCTCTTGCCTACTTGGTGCCCCGACAAATGAGTAAAAGTTCTTATTTTCTCTCCATTCACTGACATGCACAAAAGTGACTGTGGGGTACTAGGGTGTGTAGAGACCTCCACAGCTATGTGAAAGCTGGTGGTCCCTGCACCCTGTCAGATTCAGTCATAAAGATTTTCATGCCTGTAAACTCCTCTGTGTTAAGGAACTGGGTAGTGACACATGATGGAAAGCATACTGTTTCTGCTTCCTAGGGGTGAAACACATGAGAAACACTCCCTGCCAAAATTTTCAGAAACTAAAAACCAGGCTACACAATAGCAATACTTGTTCTTATCACAACTAGTGTTGTTTTCTACAAAAGAATGGAAAACCTGTCATAGTAGACTTATTAACCATTTGGCTATTATAAATAATACGGTTCTCACATACATATTTTTACAAAGATTTGAATAGATTGCTTGTTTGAGGCTACTCACAGTTCTTGTAAATGAAGATGCTGACATGAATATCTATACACAGGTCTGCTTTTAGGAGAATACCCATGCCACGTGAAGACTACATTAGTGGAAATTGACTTCTGTGTTTAATGAATCTTTAAAAAGTTCCCCACCACGTATTCTTCTGAAAGAAAGCAAACAGCTTGGTAATGAACACAGTAGGAGGAAATTAAAGTTGTGCTCAAAGTGTGTTCTCAGTGAATTGTTTATTTCGTTACTTAAATTCGTTGTGATATTTAAAATGTAGATGGGAGGGTGGTTACGGCTTTCTCCTTGAAATGAACTGGCTTTTATGGTCTTCCTCTGATTTCTCTCCTCATTATTCCAGTCTTCCTAAGCTTTTCATGGAAATGGAAGCACTGCTCAGAGAACCTCCAATGAGGTCTCTGCAGACATTGTTGACTGTTAGAGACTCTTTGTAGGAAGGGAGGGTGTTTGGGGCACTGATTTGGTGGTCTAATGCCTTCAGAGAAGCAGTTAAGTATGTGTTGACAGTGGTTCTGCTACCATATCTAAAATTTTTATAAACTTAAAAATTTTTGCAAACTTAAAAATTCCATATAAGCTTTAGGGAGTTGAGTTGGATTCACCTTTTGCAGGTCAAATAGATTCTAGATAAGTATCCCTAAGTTTTTCCACCTGCCCATGTCAGAGGTGGGAATCCCTCTTTCTTCCCTGGTCTAGGGACTCCCCTCCCTAAACTACAAGGACAAAGGGCCTAGCAGATTTGAATGTATGCCAAAGGTAAAAATTTTCCCCTAAACTCCTTAATCTTATCTTCTGTCTAATGTATATCTGTTCCAGCAGATTTCTAATCAACTAAGGATTGCAAACTATTCCAAACTCACCAGCCTTTGGTCCCTCTGATGGAATTTTCAACCAGCCTGAGCTTCTATATCCCAGAGGACTCCAAAACACCTAGCCCCAGGTGATCCAGCCTCACAAATTGCTCTAACATGGCCTCCACTTCTTTACCCCAGATTGTCCCATAAAGCCTGGACAGCTAGGGAAACACCCTGCTCTTCTGGCCTTGGCCAGCATTCCAGCTTTCTTGGGTACCAAACAACAAATGCTAAGTGTTAGTAAGAAGTAGTCAAAGAAAAGATTGCATCACCCCTTATCATGTTTTATCAACAAAAAGGCTGGGATCTTAGGTCTCAAACTTGGGACAAATGGCTAACTGAGGTGTCTATAAGCATCAAAGTGGGCCCAATAACCATGTTCTTCCATCATCCCTCAGTGCCTACCTGGTACAGGGACTGGCAGGCATACCATGCCCCCTACCTTAAACTTACCCAATTGAGAGGCAGGGCTACTCTCCTCCCAGTTGCTCTTCCCTATATAATTTAGCCATTTTGGATACCCACCCCACTTTTCAATTACTCTTTATTCTTCCGGGTATTTCCCTCCTCTTCCTTCTCATGTGTCTGACTCAGACTCATGTTCACTCTGGACTCTACTAGATGCCCCTGCCTCTGGCTATGTTCTCCCGTTTATCTACAGTAATCTTCCTCTTCTACCATACCTAGGAACAGTCATGTCCTTCCTTTATTATTTCTTTTTTTTTCATTCAATCTTGTTGTTTTTAGGTTTCTGTACTTCTTTAGCAACCACTCTGACTCATGAGTTTCAAAATGTACTTCAAAGAAAACAAGGAAAGAGGAGCTTCATGGAGATCTTAGAGATCACAATGAAACATGACAGTATGCCATAAGGTGCCTCACAATAAATCAGAATGTAGCTCAGAGTCCCACGCTGTTCCCTGTCAATCAAGGGTCTCTTGAGAGGCTGAGGAGTCAGACTCCTTTAGTATAAACTACAGGATTTTCAGAAAATGACATGTGTGGTCCCTGAGATAGATATAACTAAAATGTTCATAGGGTAATAATACATTTAACCACAATAAACAAACACTAGCTCCTTAATGGAATTCCACAAAGAAAATATTTTCAGTAACTTTGTCAGTCATATTTGGACATTCCTGAATCTGCCACGTTGGGAATTCATTTGGAGAAGAGTGGATGGCATGATTTTGAATACTGAGAAATGAGAGAATTCTATGTCTAGAGGTCACTTCCAGAATTGTAGATGATCCACTCATACCTTTCTCTACCAGTAGCCATTAAGTGAGTAAGAACCCCAGCCTTCATGACAATGAACTCAAGAACTCACTTCAAGTCCTCTGTTATTGAGGCCCACAATCCCCCCTTTATTAAAAATAAAATCTTTTCTCATACAATACATCCTAATTAGTTCCCCTCCCTCTACTCCTTCCAGTCCCCCCTTCCATTCCCATCCAGATCCTCTCCCTTTCTGTCTTTCATTATAAAAGAACAGGCTTCTGAGAGATAATAACAAAACATAACAAGACAAACTATAAAATATAAGACAAAACCTACCCAGCAGAAGGAAAGGAGCCCCTAGAGAAGGCACAAGAATCAGAGACCTATTCTTTCGCTCACTTAGGAGTCCCACAAAAATACTAAACTGGAAGCAGTAGTATATACTCAGAGGACCTGGTGCAGACCCATGTAGGCCCTGGTCTTGCACAGTTTCTGTGAGTTCATATGAGTTCTGCTCAGTTGATTTAGAAGGCGAAGCCCTTAATTCTTAATGGATTCAGTACTTCCCAGGTAAAGACTTACTGGATTTTTAGTTCTGTTATCATCCCCACAGTCCTTACCTGACCCACAGCACCTTATTTTTTCCAATTAACATTTCTAAGATTAGCTGTGTCTTAAAACCAGTGTGTGGATATATTTTCCTCTTTTAACCCTCAAGGAAATGGTTAGTAAACTTAAGGATGTATACAGAATTGAGGCATTGGCATTAAAGAGATGAACAGAAGAAGAAACAAGCAGATACCCAATTTCCTCAGCCATTTCTCAGGGTGAGTAGGCAGCATTCTTGTATCATCTAAGTTTGGTGACACATTGCATAAGTACTCCAGGTATTGGTTCAGACTATGGTCAGTTCTCTTTCTCTTCCCCGGCTTCTAGTTTTCTCCAAACTAGTCTATGCAGATGGGACTGCGATGTTCATAAACATACCCGTGGGATTGGTGTGGTAGGGAGAAAGCACAGGAGAGCTTAGCTGAAGGTTAGGAGTGTGCTCTGATTTTATATAAGAATGTGAAGATGATTCTTTTCTTTTTATAATCTATTTATTTTATGTACATGGGTGTTTTGCCTGTAGAAAGGTATGTCTGTGTGAGGGTATTGGATCCTCTGGAGCAGGAGTTACAGACAGTTGTGAGCTGCCATGTGGGTGTTGGGAATTGAACCCAGGTCCTCTGGAAGAGCAGCCAGTGCTCTTGACCGCTGAGTTGGTGAGATGGCCCAGAGATTAAGAGTACTGGCTGTTCTTCCAGAGGTCCTGAGTTCAATTCCCAGCAACCACATGGTGCCTCACAACCATCTGTAATGAGATCTGCTGCCCTCTTCTGGCATGCAGGCAAACATGCAGACAGAACACTATATACAAAATAAATAAATAAATCTTAAAAAAAAAAGAATGTGAAGATGAGGCTGTGTGGCAGTTTGAATGAAAATGGCTCCATAGGGACTGGCACTATCGGGAGGTCCTTGTTGGAGGAGGTGAGTCATTCAGGGTGGGTTTTGAGGTCTAAGAAGCTCAAGCCAGCCCTAGTGTGTTTCTGTCTCTTCCTGATTTGTGCGGATCAAGATGTAGAACTCTCAGCTCCTTCTCCAGCAACATGTCTGCCTTCGTGCCACCATGCTTCCCACCATGTGAGACTATTGTTTTCCTTTACAAGAGTTAAATATTTTCCTTCATAAGAGTTTCTATGGTCAAGGTATCTTTTCATAGCAACAGAATGTTGTAGGATATTTGTACACTGTGTGAAAATGTATTTCTGTGATTGGTGTAATAATAATCTGAACAGCCAACAACTAGGCAGGAGGTATAGGTGGGACTTCTGGACAGGAAGATAATATTAGGAAGAAGAAAGTAGAGTCATCACCAGCTAGGTAGACAGGAAACAGGAGGTGCAAGATGGAAGAGAGGTAATGCCATGTGATAAAATATAGATCAATATAAATGGGTTAATTTAAGTTATAAGAGTTAGTTAGGAACAAGCCGAAGATGTAGGCTGAGCTTTCACAATAAATATTAAGTCATTGTGTCATTATTGTGGGCTGTCAGCCAAGGAGAAATTTTGTCTACAAATAGAAACCATAACTAAAATAGAAGTTGGTACTGGTACCAGGGACTGGATATATTGCTGTAATAGGCCTGATCATGTTTTTGTTTTGAGCAATGTGGCTTTTGGGATTCTGCATTAGAAAAGCAGTTGAATGCTTTAAGTGAGGCTTATTGGGCCATCCTAATAGGAACATGGAAGACAGTGGTGCTGAGGGTGATTTGAACTGTGGGGAACTATATCAAGAGGTTTCAGAGGAAAAGAATATCTGTATGTGGCCTAGAGATGGTGCTTATTTTTTGTTTTTGCTAAGGATATAATAATACTACTTTTTCATTCTTTTGCTTAAAAAGTCTACCTGAGGATAAACTGAAGAGTTTTGGATTAATGGCATTGGCAGAAAATTTTCAAAACAACCTAGTATTGACTCTGTTGTGTGGCTATTAGTGTTCACTATTATGAAGATCTATAATGAAAAGGAGCAAGCTGAACAAGGAAAAATACAAAATGTACAGTTGGAGAAAAATGGCACCAGGAAGTGGAATGGAGGTAATCCTATGTTCAAGGAGATGTTAGATGGAATAAAGGGAGTGATGACCTCAGGTCAAGACCCCACTCAGCTAAGCTTCCAACTTGTGAAAAGGAAGTAAAGAAGAGCTTAGGTCTGGATATGGTAGCATGCCTTTAATCCTAGCACTCTGGTGGCAGAAGCAGGCAGATATCTGAGTTTGAGGCCAGCTTGGTCTACAGAGCAAGTTTCAGGACAGCCAAGCTTAGGCAGTGAAGGAAACAATTGAGAACAGAAAGCTGGTGAAGACGTCGTTGAACAAGGAGGCTGTGTGTCATCCCCAGCAGCAGCAGAACTTGGCAGCTTCAGCCACATGCTTCTGGCTTCAAAGACAATGACAGAAGAAAGGGGTTGTGGAATGTCTCCCAGCAACTAAGGAAAACTGCTGAGGCCAGGCACGTGTCAGTGGTGTCCCTGCATGGAGGTCTAGAGAGCTCATTGCATGAAGCTGTGAAG